GCCACAGGTTCCCCCCTTGCGACGTTCCCCCTGGACCCGGTGTCTGGTCTGTTTACCCTCGACACCACTCCCCCTCCGGTTGGTGCGTCCTCCCAGGTCGCTGCAGCTTGCTCGTATCGGTCTCTCACTCACCCGTCCCTTTTGTGGCACCACCGCCTAGGTCACCCTGCACTCCGGCGTCTGCGTCACATGTCCCAGCACGGTCTTGTCTAAGGCCTCCCCGAGTCGCTCCCCGCCCTTCCCCTCTCGCCTTCTCCACCGTGCACGCCCTGCATCGAGGGCCGTCTCCGCCATGCCCCTCACTCCTCCTCGCTTCGCCCTGCTACCGCTCCCCTTCAGACCCTGCAACTGGACGTTTGGGGCCCAGCCCCCGTCCCCGGACCGCGTGGCGAGCGCTACTTTCTTGTGCTCGTCGACGACTACGCGCGCTACACCACGGTGTTTCTCCTGGAGCGGAAGGCCGACGTGCCCGACGTTCTTCTCCCGTGGATTGTGGCTGCGCGTCTTCACCGCGGTCTCCCCGTGTTGTGTCTCCACTCTGACCGTGGCGGCGATTTCGCTTCTGGTCGGCTTGGACAGTTCTGTCGTGCGGAGGGCATCACCCAGTCATACACCTTGCCGGACTCGCCACAGCAGAATGGGGTTGCTGAGCGCCGCATCGGCTTGGTCATGGAGGTGGCTCGTACCTCCATGATCCATGCCAGTACACCCCATTTTCTGTGGCCGTTCACCGTTCGCTACGCCGCTCACCAGCTAAACTTGTGGCCACGCTCCCAGCAGCCGCAGGTTTCGCCGACCCTCCTTTGGACCGGGTCCCCCGGTGACGCGTCTGCGTTCCACGTCTGGGGCTGCCGTGCTCACGTTCGTGGCTCTGGCACGGACAAGCTCACTGCTCGCACTATCCCCTGTGTCTTCCTTGGTTTCCCCCTGGACTCGTCTGACTGGCTCTTCTACCACCCGCAGTCTCACCGCTTCCTCCACTCTCGTGACGTCACCTTTAACGAGTCCGTCTCCTTCTACCGTCGCTTCCCTCACCGAGGTCTCCCGGTTCCCCCCCCCCTGTTACTTGCCCCCTCTCCCCCGGTAGCCCCTCCTCCCCTCCCGCCTCGTCCTGCCCCATCTGGTGTCTCCCATGTCACTCCCCTCCCGTCAGTTGTCCCTGTTGAGGAGTCTGCTGACTCTGGTGGTCCCCCCGCCCCGCCTTTGCCGTGTCTCCTTTCCCTGGTGTCTCCGCCCCCGCTGTCGCAGTCGCCGCCGCCGCCGCCGTCGCAGCCGCCGCCGCTGTCCCTGCCGCTCTTGGCCTCTGGGGGTGCTGGCGCTGAGGAGGGTGTTCGTCCTACGGCTCCTGGCGTGGTCTGTCCCAGCGGGCCTGGAGGTGCCGCTGGCACTGGAGAGGGTTCTCCCTCTGGGGGTGTTGGTTCTGGGGGTGCTGCCGTTGAGTGTTCTCCCGAAGGTCGTCGTGCCCCTGCCGGTTCGAGGGTCGAGCACCAGCCGCCGCAGCAGCCGCCGCAGTCGTCGCCGCCGTATTCTTGACCGCTCTTCGCCTGCTCGGCCTTCCATCCTCTGACCGCTCGCCGGGGTCTCCCCCACCTCCTCCTCATCTTCCTGTCTACAGCCCTGTGTTCCCGCCCCCGGACTCTTCTCCGACCCGTCTTCCTCCTCGTTCCCCCCTTGTGTCCCCTCCGCTGTCTCCTGACCCTACACCTCCGTCCCACGTTTGGTCTCGCCGTCCCTCGCGTGCTCGTCCCGTCTCCCCTGTCCCTCGCTCCCATCCTATGTTACTCCGTTCTCACTCGTCTCGTCCTCCCCTCCTCCCCTTGCCTCCTCCCTCGTCGCTCGTTGTTGCACCTTCCCCGCTGTCTGACTACCTCCGTGCCGCTAGTCCCCTTGTCCCTCGGGTCCTTGCCTCTCTTGTTACAGACCCGTCTGTTCCTGTCTCCTGCATTGACGCGCTTGTTGCTGCTGTCGTTGACTTCGCCTCTACCCGCCGCCTTGACTACGCTACCGCTCTGGTCTCTGACCCTGCCCGTCCTGCGCCCGTCGGGGCTGCACCTGCCCTTGGCAATGACGTACTAGAGGACAGGCAGTACGAGCTTGCTTTCCTTTCCGATGCCGCTCCCCATCTCTGCTCCATGCTCCTAGTCCCAGAGGGTGACCCAGACGTCTTCGACATCCCGACCCCTCGCACCTACGCTGAGGCCACCTCGGAACCCTGGGCCTCTCAGTGGATAGCTGCCATGGAGCAGGAGATGGCATCTTGGAGGTCCACCGGCACTTACGTCGACGCAGTTCCCCCGCCTGGGGTGAACGTAGTCGATGGTCGGTGGCTCTTCAAGGTGAAGCGTCCCCCTGGAGAGCCGCCTATCTTCAAGGCGCGCTACGTGGCCAGAGGCTTCAGCCAGCGCGAGGGGGTTGACTTCTTCCAGACCTTCGCCCCGACCCCGAAGATGACCACTCTTCGGGCGCTGCTACACGTAGCAGCACAGCGCGACTACGAGCTTCACTCCCTCGACTTCTCTACTGCCTTTCTTCAGGGCAGCCTACACGAGCTGGTCTACCTGCGTCGACCTCAAGGCTTCACTGGTACCTTCCCCCCTGGGACCCAATGGCTTCTCCGGTGCCTGGTCTACGGCCTGCGTCAGGCTCCTCTCAAGTGGCACGACACGATGCGTGCCACGTTAGCAGACGTGCAGTTCTTTCCGTCCTCTGCTGACCCCTCGATGTTTGTGCGTTTCGGCCAGACTCCGTTCTACATCCTTGTTTACGTAGACGACCTGGTCTTTGCTACTGCTGACAGGGACGCACTGGCCTCTGTGAAGGCCGAGCTGCTGAAGAGACACACCTGCACTGACCTTGGAGAGCTGCGTCGCTATCTTGGCCTGCAGATCTCCAGGGACAGAGCAGCACGCACCATCACTCTGACACAGTCACACTTGGTGTGTCAGGTCCTTCAGAGGTTCGGTCTTCAGTTCTCCTCCGCACAGCCCACACCTCTACCTCTAGACCATGGGCTCTCCGCTCCCGTTCCTGAGGAGCCAGCAGAGCCCAGTGGACCCTACGCAGAGCTGGTGGGTTGCCTAATGTACCTGATGACTTGCAGTCGCCCAGATCTTGCATACCCTCTCAGCATCCTGGCTCGCTTTGTGGCCACTGGCAGACACCGGCCACAGCACTGGTCGGCCGCTAAGAGGGTTTTGCGATATCTAGCAAGTACATCGGGCATGGGGTTAGTGCTAGGAGGACGCAGGCCGGTGGTCCTCACTGGGCACACAGACGCTTCTTGGGCAGACGACTCTGAGACTCTCAGGCCGTCTCAGGGCTATTGTTTTAGTCCTTGCTTGGGTGCTATCTCTTGGAGATCCACTCGCTCGTCGTCTGTTGCTCAGTCCAGCTGTGAGGCTGAGATCTACGCTGGTGCCATGGCGGCACAGGAGCTCCGCTGGCTGACCTTCTTGCTCACTGACTTAGGTGAGCGGCCTAGCTCTGCCCCGGTCCTGTACGCTGACAACAGGGCCATGATCCTCCTGTGTCAGGAGCCTCGGCTCGAGGGCAGAGCGAAGCATATCCAGCTGCGGTACTTCCTCCTGCGCGAGCTACAGCAGTGTCGCCAGGCCCGTGTAGTTGACTTGGCCTCCGGTGCCAACACAGCTGATATCTTTACTAAGGCGCTTGCGCCTAAAGATGATCAGCGGCACTGCGTACAGCTTGGTCTTGTTCCTGTAGTTACTCATTTGTTAGGACCCTGATTGTGTATTCTCTACTATTTATACCTGTCTGACTGGTCTTGTGGCCTTCCCTCCAGTGGCTGGACTAGTAGTGCCGCCCTGGCTTGCTTTTGTCTTATCTTTACTCTTGGTGACTGGTCTTTGGACCCCTGCCTCAGTGGTTGGACTAGTAGTGCCACCCTGAGCTGTGTGCTTCTTGCTTGCACCACCCCTTCTCTAGCCTAGTGGGTGTGTCAACTCATACATGTTATCCATGTAGAAGTTATAGGCTAGTATCGGTGTGTGCTCCTAGTGAGTACTACCCAACTGCTATATGTGTTATGGTTTCCCTTCTAGTAAACCATTCACGTATTCTAACAAGTAGTGCCGCCCTGTTTTGCTCTTTTCTTGTTTGTTCTCTTGCTGATTGGTCTTCGGACCCCTGCCTCAGAGGTTGGACTAGTGGTGCCACCCTGAGCTACATGTCTCTTGCTCAGCACTGCCCCTTATCTAGCCTTGGGGGTGTGTCAACTTATACATATATTTGTATGGAGAAGTTGTAGGCTAGATATGTTTGTATTCTTAGAGGGTACAATTCGAACCCTATATCTCCCTTGTTCTTACTTATTCTTAGTCATTCTGTTTTTCTAAGAGTGCTAACCCACCATGATAACCCACCCACTTATCAATGTTTACACTTGTACATTCTGATCCCTCCTTGCATTGTGAGAGGCTTTTTGGTAGCTTGCATCTCCCTAGTGTTGTCCATCCATTCCATGTACGTTGGTGTTCTTGAAATAACAAGAATGTGAAGTTTCTGTAGTCTAGCTTGCCTTATATTATGCAGAATTTGGCTGTAAACGGAAGTTCCCCCTGTGAACGGCCCAGGATAGTCAAGACTAATCTGTGGCGGAGGGTTCTCCATTTTGGGATCTCGGCTTCCCAGCTTCCTGGATGTTTGTTCCCATCGCGCTGCGTATCGTTGGTTCTAATGGGCTCCAACACTCTTGGATGATGACGTGTCTCTCATTGTTCAGGGGTCCTCGATATATTTTCCTTTTGTTCAGGGCGCATTCCAAATAAGCAGGATTGAGCTTGCAAGTGCCAGTGCGAGAATTATAGAGCCCGAAGTGAAAACATGGAGCATGCAGTGTTTCAAAAAGGGGCGCCTGAATCTTCTCTGTGTAGGCCCTTGGGCTTCAAGATTTACTTGGCGAGCCTTGTTCCTTCCTTCCCTTCCCCCTCGGCTTCCCCTTGATACTGTACCTCCTCCTGCATTCCGAGCAGCAGAGAGTATTTGCTGACGAAGTCTAGTCTCCCAGGTTTACGTCTGCCATTGTGGGCTGCAGTCTAGCAGCCTGCGGGAACTTCGAGTTTGGTTCGCTTATAAAAGCGATTATCTTCTGCCGCTTCTACGTTGAGACGCACCAATCGTTGCCACAATGGCTCCTGCAGCGCTTTCGACGAAGACAGCTTGTCTTGCGTCCGTGGCTCAGCCGCATCCTTCCACAGACAACCGTCTGCTTCTACAGTCTAGCTCCGGCCCTCTCCCACATGGCACCTCCGGCCACTGCCTTCTCTCGTCGCCTCGCCGATTCGGCTTCCTGTGGACGACGAAAGCGGGCAGCGACGGTGTCAGTCTGGCGTCAGTCCAGGTCAGTTGCGAGTCCAGTCACCTCGACGAGCCTCCTGTCTCGGTGGTTACAGGAACCGCAGCCGCAGGGGTGCAACGTCCCTTTTTCTTCTGGCTGGTTTCTGCGGGCTCAGAATCCATGGTGCTGCACAAACTCGTGGTGAAGACCTTCAGGCCGGCAGTTTGTTATGGATACCGAAGCTGAGGCCCAAGAGCGAAGGAGACCCTAAATCATGGGTTTCCATCATACGTGTTGGAAAGAAAAGTAATCGGCTGCCCGTAAATTTCAATGCCTGATGTCCTCCAGCCAGTGCCGTACCCGCAACTGTGATTGGATTGCTTCACTGTGCACCCCTGACGCGACGATACCGTCAAAACGAACCAACTTTCTGAATCTCCTCTACCAGTCACTGCTTTCCACATGCCGAGGGCCTTGCCGCGCGGTCCAGTATATCACCCCTGCCTTTCAAGGGCAGGCCCTCAAGTAACGGCCGTAACAATACCCACACACCGTCTTTTCTCCTCTCTCTTGTTTTCCGATTTCCCCTGGCCCGTCCCCATCACCAGCACCCTTCTGCGGCTCCCGGCACCCCTTCGCTTCCCCGGTCCGCCGTTCGCGCCCGCTTTCCGTCCCCTGCCCCTCTTTCCCGCGGCCCCATGTTCCCCGCGGTGATTCCTTCCGCGGTCACTCCGCGGATGAGCACCAGCGCCCGCAGCGGTAGTTCCACGCGGAACAACGGCGCAGCGTCAAGCAAGCGGGGGGGGGTTGTGTTGGGAAAGAAGCGCGGGGCGTTGGGGGGGCGCGCGAACATGCAGAGGGTATCAGCGGGGGCAGGCTCCGCTGCTGGAGTGGAGGGGGCGAGACGGGCGCATGGCGGGTCCCCGGGGATTGGCGGATGGGCGGAGGGTTGGCGGAGCAATGGGAATGGTAACGTCAATGGGAGTGGAAATGGGAATGGGAACGGAAACGGGAGGGCGAACGGCAACGGAAAGGCAGTATATGGCATGGTAAGGCGAATACGATGCTTCTCTGCGCTTGTCGTCTTTCGCAGTCGCCACGCGCATGCCTTGGTGCCACTCCTTCCGCATCGATTCCCCGTCCGCCGTGCTCTTGCCATAAGGGATCTCGGCCCCCTTCTGGCCTTTCTGCGAGCCCTTCTATATTGCCTTGTTCACCGGTTCGGTACCCCCTCTCGTTTGCGCGCTGTCCTGTTCGTTTGTGCTCTTTGCTGTCCCCCGAACTCATCCACTCCGTCTTCATCATGTCTCCCATTGTACTTGTCCGTGCTTGTCGCATGTGTGTGCGCGCGCGTGCGATGTGAGGGGAACAGGCGGAGGAGGAGGGGGAGGAGGAGGAGGAGGAGGTGGTGACAATGGGCGACCTCATGGACATGGTCCGAGACGCTGAGCAAAGTACGCCGCGCGCTGCGCTCTCGCCCCGCTTGTCAACACTCCAAACCATGCCACACCATGCCATACCATGCCGCACCACGCCACACCATCCCACACCATGCCACAGGGTGCCGTATGATGCAATGGCATACCACGCGGTGCCTTGCCACGCGGTGCCTTGCTCTCATGGTGTTGCTACCCCTCCGACTGTCCCGTGTGTCGCTGTCACGAGTGGGGAACGTCCACCTGCTAGCAGCCGACCTCTACACTCCGTGATGTGTAGCTCTTTTCAAACTTAATTATATTCACTACCCGTTCTTTCCCCTCAATTTCCCCTCCCATTGTCAGACGTGCAGCAGCTGAACGCCCTGCACGCCGCCGCGCTATCGGAGCTTGCAAAGGCGAGTACGCGGAGGGAGTCCCTGCAAGAGCAGGTGAAGCTGATGGGTGCCCGCCTGGAGGGAACGCAGCGGCAGCTGCAACTGCTGGGGTTCGCGGAGGGGGAAGGGGAGGGCGAGAGCGACGGAGCAAGGGAGGTGGGGGAGGGAGAGGGAGAGCAGCAGCAGCGGCAGCAGAGGACGCGAGAGAAGGAGTTGGAAGCGCAGGTGGCAGCGGCGCAGCAGAGGCTGGAGGAGAAGGTGGTGGTGGGTAACAGGGTTACAGAGTTACAGCGGGAAGTGGTGCGCCTGCAGCAGAGGGCGGCGGAAGGCGCGGTGATGGAGGAGAGGTTGAGGCACGCGGAGCGACGGCAGGCGGAGCTGGAGGAGAGGCTGGAGGCCGCGCGGGGGGAGGAGAGGCGGGCGCTGGAAAGGAGCGAGGAGATGGAGCGACGCGTGGGGATGGACGTGGCGGCGCTGCGGGCGCAAGTGGAGCGTATGGAGAGCGAACTGGCGGACATGGCGCACGTGGAGGGGGAGTTGAGGGAGGTGGCGGAGGGGAACGTGGAGATGGAGGGGGAAGTGGCGCGGTTGCAGGCGGAGCTGGCGCAGAGGGAGGGGGAGGTGGAGTCGGTGGTGTGGGCGAAGGAGGGCGAGCTGCAGCTGATGCGCGCGCAGCTGCTGAAGGACGTGGGGGAATGGCAGGAGAGGGCGTGGGGGGAGAAGGAGGCGAGAGAGAGCGCGGAGGAGGAGAGGGGGAACAGGCAGGAGGTGGTGGTGGCGCTGCGGGAGGTAGCGGAGAAGCAGGAGAAAGTCTTGTTGCGAGCACTGAAGCAGCTGCAGACGAAGCTGGGGGAGGCTGTGGAGTCACGCGACGAGGTGGTGAAGGAGGCGGTGCGGGAGAAAGAGAGGGAGATCGCGTCGTTCCGACAGATGGTGCAGGCACTGCAGGCGCAGGTGGAGGAGCGAGAGGGGGAGGTCACCCACGCGGAGGGGCAGGCGGAGGAGCTGCGGAAGCAGCTGGCAGAGGCGGAGTCGGCGGCAGAGGAGTGGGAGCGGGAGAGGGCGCGGGTGAGGGAGGCGCACTTGAGGGAGGCGGAGGCAGTGGGGCGGGAGACGGAGGAGGAGGCGCGGATGGTGGTGGAGGGGATGCGTGCCATGGAGCGCGCGCGGATGGACGTGGCCGCGCAGGTGGCTGCACTCAAGGGCGCGGTGGAGGAGAGGGAGAGGAGCCTGGCGGAGGAGAAGAGGCAGAGGGAGGAGCTGTGGGAGCAGCAAGAGGAGCTGCAGAGGGAGGTGCAGGGCGCACAGGCGCGGCTGAGAGGCGCGGAGAGGGCGAGGGAAGAGGCAGGAGTGCGAGGAAGGGAGCGACTGGGGGAGGTGGTATCTGAGGTGGCAGCGGTGGTGGCGCGAGGGGAGGAGCTTGGGTGGGTGGAGGAGGAGCTGGCGAGGTTAAGGGATGAAGCAGCGCGGTTTGCAGCGGTGATGGACGACTCAGACCGGTTGGAGGCGTGGGCTAGTGAGACGGGGCAAAGGAACGAAGAGCTCAGACAGGCGATCACAGGGAATAGGGAGAGGGCGGCGGGTATAGAGGCGGAGATAGGGGCAGAGAGGACGGAGAGGGAGGCGGAGAGGGGGGAGTGGGCGCGGGTGGGGGAGGAGAGGGAGGAGCTGGTGGTGGCGATAGAGTCTCTCAGAGCGAAGCTGGTGGAGGCAGACGCGAGCATGCAGGCGCAGCAGGAGCTGTATGAGGCGCAAGGGCGCGCGTTCGAGGAGGGGCTGGCGGCGGCAGCGGCGAGCGTGGAGTTCTACAAGGGGCAGGAGGCGGCGTGGTGGGCGGAGAAGGAGCGCATCGAGCGCAAGGCGCGGTGGGGGAAGGTGGTGCCAGCAGGGGAGTTGCCGTGGGAGTACTGGAGCACGCTGCTGCTCAAGGTGGACGAGCTGCTGCTCAAGGGGCTGCTGCCGCCTGCCGACGCCGACAAGCTGAGGGCCATGGTGTGGCGCCGGGGCGTTCGGGTGCAGGAGGCGTGGGACTCGGTGGGAGGCGCGGAGGTGGTGAGAGCTGTGCTGGAGAGCGGCGGCTCGCAGAGGGGAGGGGTTGAGGTGGTGGAGAGGGGGATGGACGATGCAGAGGTGGCTGTGGCGTTGAGAGGCGTTCTGAGGGATGATCCCAAGGACAGGTGAGAGACGGCGTGCTGTGTTGGTGTGGGGTAGCTCTTGCAGGGAATGTGCACGAAGTGGAGTCATGCGCCCAGTCATTTCCCTGGCTATACATCCTTTTCACGCTCATGCGCGCGCTCGCTCCCTCTTCTGCTGTTGAATCAGGCGTCCCCTGTCAAGTCCGCCAAGCAGTGCATGTGGATATTCTCTAGGAGCTTCGCATAGTCATGCTGTCCAAATTCACCTCGTGCCACCCGCCCTGTCCCTGCTCTGTTTCCCTGGCGCCCCCTTCACATGCTGCATGCAGTGACAACACCGCCCAGCTTGTAGCAGAAGCTGCAAACACCACCCGGCTCCTCTCCACTGCATCCTTCCCTCACGCCGCCTTGCGCATGTTCCTCCCCCTCGCCCTTGTGAATGACCCGTTGCATCTTGCCCCTTGTCCTCCCAGGCGCCCCTTACACGTGGTACACATAGCAGCGGAGATGGCTCCTGTAGCAAAGGTGGGCCCGGGTTTTGGGGAAGGGGGTTGAGAGGGGGAACGTGGGGGGAGAGAATGTGGGGAGGAGTGTGAGTAGTTGGGTGAGGGCACTGGATTGTGGTTGGTGGCGTGGGGTTGTGTTTGAGGCCACTCTGTGTCATTCATATGCATGCAAGTGCCCTGCAAGCAAATCCACAAGCAAATCCACATACTCGTTCTCACACCCACCCCTTTCCCTTGCAGGTGGGAGGCCTGGCTGATGTGGTAACGGGGTTGTCGCGGGCGTTACAGCAGCGAGGTCATCTGGTGGAGGTGGTACTGCCCAAGTACGACTGCATGGACTACTCCCGCATCCAAGACCTCAAGGTAACCCCGCTTGCCCTCACATCGTCATGCCCTCGCATGCCATGCCATGCCATGCCATGCTGTGCGTGTACCATACCAGCTCATGCCATGTTCTTGTCATCGTTGTCCTGTGCGTCGACCACTCTCCCTCGGCAGAGCCTTACTGATCTCGCCACGCTTTCTCTCTCCCCTTGGTTTGTGCCCCCCCCCCCTCGCCTGCCCGCAGCACTTGCCAGTCGAGTTCTCCTGCTACTTCGATGGCCAGCAGCACCCGTGCAAGATATGGCGGGGCATGGTGGAAGGTGCGTCATCGCACCATGGTCTTCGCACAACGTGCACTCCTGCCCACCGTCATGCACGCCTGCCCACCGTCATGCACTCATTCCCACCGTCATTCCCCCAGCTCTTCCCATTAGCCATCCTCTCTCACTCGCCTCCATATGCCCCCAAGTCTTCTATGCTCAAACCTCCCACACCTCACCGTCGACTCCCCTCATCTTTCCCCACGTCCTCTCTTCCTCTCTTCCCCTCTTCCTCTCTCCCCTCTTCCCCCCTCCCCCCTCCCCCCCATCCCCCCCCAGGTCTGCCGGTGTACTTCTTGGAGCCGCAGCACCCGGCGCGCCTCTTCTGGCGGGGCACCTTCTACGGGTGCGCGGACGACTTCCGGCGCTTCTCCTTCTTCTGCCGCGCTGCGCTGGAGTTCCTGTGGGCCGCGGGGAAAAGGCCCGACATCATCCACTCTCATGACTGGCAGACTGCGCTTGTGGTGCGTGCAGGAGGGAGGAGTGGGGAAGAGTTGGGGGAAAGGGGGGGGGGGGGAGGGGGGGATGGGAGAGAGAAGGGACGTGAGGGGGCTTGTGTGTAAAAGGTGCGGGTGGTTAAGGGGAAGTGGAACGGCATGTGAAAGTGGGTGCTGGACTTGTGTTTTGCTCTTGCTGCCGCCCTGCCCCAGTAATCCATAAGCACGTCCTTCTCCACTGCCACATCACTCACGGCCTCAATCACTGCCCGTCAGACAATGCTTCTCACCCTTCATCCCTCACCTTTCGCCCCGTGCACCCCGCCCTCCCCACCCCTCCCAGGCGCCCCTGTACCACGACGTGTTCATGCCGCAGGGTATGAGCTCGGCGCGCCTGGCGTTCACGTGCCACAACTTCGAGTACCAGGGCACGGACGCCCCGCAGGCGCTCACAGGGTGCGGGCTGGACCCCGCCCGGCACAACACGCTGGAGGGCATGCGAGACAACTATGCAGGCAACAGGATCAACGCTCTCAAGGTGAGGGGTGCTGATGTACTTATACATGCGCGCAATGCACACACACGGGGATAATTGAGCTCAGCGACCCTACCCCACTGCCATTGCAGCCCTCACCGTGAAACCCACCCCTCCCTCTGGCCCTCCCCACCCCCGCCACTTTCGCTGTCATACATACTCTTGTCTGCACCTTTCGACCCTCTCTTTCCCATACCCTTCCTCGTCCTCTCCTCTTCCTGTTCTTTCCGCTCCTGACCACGAGGGTGACTTGGTGTATTGGGATGTGGTCACCAGAACGTCGCCCACATGTGCCATGGAATGGAAGCCTCCCACTTGCACGCCCCACTCCAAACTCTCCCCACCGCCCTCCCCTCCCCACCCCGCTTCATTGATCCCGCTCGCCATGCTCCTCTCCACTCCATTGCCTCTTCGCCCTCACGCCTGTTCTCGCCCTTCCCTCATGTGTGCCCTCCCGTTCACCTGTTCACAGGGAGGCATAGTATATTCTGACGTGGTTACCACGGTGTCGCCCACATATGCCATGGAAGTGCGCGGACCAGAGGTGAGACCAGCTGCTCACTCTGCTCGGCTGCTTCTGCCTCTCAGCACCTCGCTGGCACTTCCCTCCTCCTGCTCACCTTCCTCCTACTTCCACCTCCCTCCGACATGCCCCCTGCACACGCTCTTTCAAGCAACGCATGTCCCCGCTGCCTAGTTGCCGCTAGTCCAGGCAACAGCCGCAACTCTGCATTGCTCATCCCCTCTCCTTAACAACCACCCCCCCTCCAACCCGCTCTCCCCACTTCTCTCCCCGTCCTCCCTTCCCTCAGTACGGCCGGGGGCTCCAGGTGACCCTGCAGCAGCATGCGGGCAAGTTCCGCGGCGTGCTGAACGGCATCGACGCGGTGGCGTGGGACCCGCGCACGGACGCCCTGCTGCACCGCGCTTACGGGGTGGAGGACGCGGTGCAGGGCGGCAAGGCGGCCAACAAGGCGCACCTCAGAGCGCTGCTGGGCCTCAGCTCTCACGGCGCAGATGCCCACAAGCCGCTGGTGAGTGGCCGGCTTGTAGGGTTTCAAGGAAGGGCTTTGGTAGGGTCTGGGTCCTTTGAGGGTGCTGGTTGGTGTAGGAGGTGTCTTGGTGGGTGGTATGTGGGCAATAGTGAGGCCATGGGGACACATGGAGGATGGGATGCGTCACTCAGGCGTGGTAGTGCAGCAGGAGAAGGCCGGTGGTTAGCGGTAGCAAGTGGAGGGATGTGGCAGGAGAAGGGAGGAGTGAGAGGAGAGGGCTATGGGAGATCCTGGGAAAGCATGGCCATGGCAAACACCCATTGCCGTGCATGGTCTCATGTCGGAGACGTGCTCTTCTCCTCCTGAGTTTCTCTTGCGTTCCTGAACTCCGTGCTCATGTTCCCGCTTCCATTTCCATCTCCGTGCTCAAGTCCCCCCGCGTCTCACCCCCCCCGTCCCCATTGGCATGACAGGTGGTGTGTGTGACGCGGCTGGTGCCGCAGAAGGGCGTGCACCTCATCCGCCACGCCATATTCAGAGCCAGGGAGCGAGGCGCACAGTTCGTGCTGCTTGGCTCCAGCCCCGTGCCTGACATCCAGGTGCCCGCCATGCCATGCGCATCACCATCGCCATATATGTATGCCATGTATTATCACGGCAGAGCAAGCCAGCCTCTTTCGTGGCATGCCATAATGGTCATACGGTTTTGGCATCCAGCACCAAAGCCCTCCTTGCTCTCAGCATCTCACATCACTTCCTTTGCACCCCTCCTCCCTCTTGCCTGCGTGCGTGCATGCCTGCCTGCATGCGTGTCTCAGTATGACTTTGAGAGCATAGCGCAGCAGATGGCGAGCAGTGGCGACGTGCGGCTGGTGCTCAAGTACGACGAGCACCTCTCGCACCTGCTCTTCGCCGCCGCCGACCTCGCCATCATTCCCTCCATCTTCGAACCGTGCGGCCTCACCCAGGTGACTGCACCATGCACTCGATCAGAGAAAGCTTAGAGGAGCTACAATCTGATTTTCAAAAAATGATGCGCTAGCCTAAAGAAAAGGGAGTACGTTCAAGAGAAGCACCAGCATCTCTTGCTGAACCCACGGCCCTATTCTCACCGCTCTGCACTTGTTCTCCCCGTGCACCACCCCTGCACTCCTTGCCCACTCTGCAGCTCATTGCCATGCGGTATGGCGCCATTCCCCTCGTGCGCCGAACAGGAGGCCTGGCTGACAGGTATGGCACACGCTAGGAGTGGGTGCGGCAGGATGTGGATATTGGATTCGTGGGGCATGGATGGAACCGCACAGAAATTGTGCTGGGTGTTGGGACGTGGTTCAACGTGACAGTATGGAGGGCACATGTGGGAAGGAGCAGAGGTGAGAGAGCAGAGGTGTGTCATGCACTGAGACATCTGTGCTTGCCATCGTGCCGTATGTCATCGAGTGGCATGCTTCAGTGGAGGTATTTGGCCGTATCGCATGACGTGATGCCATCTGCGGATGGCAGTTCTGTTGGCCCCCTACATGCACTCACTACCATCTCACCCTGTGCTATCCGCCCCCCCCTTCACTCCCTGCAGTGTGTTCGACGTGGATGATGATTCGGTGCCCATGGATCGCCGCAACGGCTTCTCCTTCACCAAGGCGGACGTGCAGGTCACTGTCTCCTCCCTTCACACATTGCCATCCGTGCTCCAAGATATACTGTCGCCTGTTCCCTTCCACAGTGGCAATATCCATGGCAGCATGATCGAGTGGCGCATTGTGCATCCTCCATTCGCAATGTCGCCACCTGTCTTGTTTCACCCTTGAGCTTCTTGCGGTTAACCAGGTCAACTGCGTTGCATCACACCATGACTCACCCAACCATGCTGACGCACGTCCCCTACTTTACCCACCCCCAACTTGTTCGCTTCGCTTGCGCAGTCGTTCAACGGGGCGTTTGACCGTGCCATCTCCAGCTACTACGAGCGGCGGGAGTGGTGGCAGGAGCTGGTGGTGCGAGCCATGAGCATGGACTTCGGATGGGGGCAGTCCAGCGAGCAGTACGAGGAGCTCTACTTGCAGTGCATGCCTGCACGCGTGCATGAGTGAGATGCATACGGTTGTTACTTTATTCTGTACACATGACACATGCATGGTTGTGGAAAATACCGCTTTGTTATGTTATGAATTGAAATGGTAGGTAGCGCATCCGATTGGCCACCAACATACTCAACGTCGTGCGTGTATTGAAATCTGGTGGTGGGTCAGCATCCTTGCACCCAACTTTACTTGTACATTCATAGCATGCAGTACTCATGCTGAATGCAGTCTGGCTGCAAGTCGGCCAATATGGGCTCCAACAGCCGTTGTGCGGCCTTTTGTTCGCCCCATGCTCTTGTTCTGACACCAGCGTAGAGACTCAGAATAACGCAATGAACTAGAATAATTGTTACAGGGTGGTTTTGTCGTAAAGAATTGTACTCTCTATGAGCATGCACCTATCCAGCCTATAACATGTACAAAGATAAGTTGACACACCCCCTAGGCTAGACAATGGGCAACAACTAGCAAGAGACATGTAGCTCAGGGTGGCCCTACTAGTCCAACATCTGAGGCAAGGGTCTGAAGACCTGTCAGCAAGTCAGCATCTAAGCGTCGTCTGCCCACGAAACGCCTGTGTGCCCTGTAAGGACCACTGGCCTGCGTCCTCCTAGCACAAGCCCCCATGCCCAATGCGCTAGCTAGATAACGCAAAACCCTCTTAGCGGCCGACCAGTGCTGTGGTCGGTGCAAGCGAGCCAGGATGCTGAGCGGGTCTACGAGATCTGGACGAGTGCAAATCATAAGGTACATGTGTCAACTCACCAGCTATGCGTAGGGACCTCTAAGCTCTACAGACTCCTCAGGACCAGGAGCCGAGAGGCTGTGATCTACTGGCAGAGGCATGGGTTGTGCGGAGGAGAACTGAAGTCCGAACATCTGAAGGACTTGGCGCACCAAGTGTGACTGTGTAAGAGTGATGGTGCGCGTTGCTCTGTCCCTGGAGATCTGCAGGCCAAGGAAGCGGCGTAACTCTCCTAGGTCAGTGCAGGTGTGTCTCCTCAGCAGCTCAGCCGAGGCCAGTGAGTCTCTGTGTGCAGTGGCGAAGACCAAGTCGTCTACGTAGACAAGGATGTAGAACGGGGTCTGGCCAGAATGAGCGAAGAGCAAGGGGTCTGCGGATAACAGGAATAACTGCAGGTCAGCTAAGGTAGAACGCAGCGTGTTGTGCCACTTACGGGGTGCCTGCCGCAGGCCGTAAACCGGGCGCCGAAGGAGCCACTCTGTACCAAAGGCGAAGGTGCCGGTGAAGCCGGATAGACGGCGCAAGTAGACCTGCTCGTGCAGATTGGCCTGGAGAAACCCTGTGGAGAAGTCGAGCGAGTGCGGCTTATAGTCACACTGTGCTGCTACGTGTAGCAGCGCGAGAAGAGTGGTCATCTTCGAGGTCGGGGCGAAGGTCTGAAAGAAGTCAACACCCTCACGTCGACTGAAGCCTCTAGCAACGTAGCGCACCTTGAACACCGGCGGCTCCCCAGGAGGGCGCTTCACCTTGAAGAGGAAGTCAGAGAGAGGAGGAGGGGAGACAACAAGCGACGACTGATGAGGCGACGGTAGAAGGGGAGCACAAGACGCGTGAGAACGGAGCAACATAGGGTGAGAATGCTGAACAGGAGAGACACGATGAGCACGAGAGGCACGGTGAGACGACCAGCGGGACGGGGGGGTCGGGTCAGGAGACAAAGGAGGAGACACAGCATGAGAACGAGGGGGGAAACGAGCCGCGGACGACTCCGGAGGAGGAAACGGGGCCGTAGACAGACGGGGGAGGCCACGGCGAGGGAGGCGAAGGCGGGCTGTGGGGGAAAGGAAGACCGAGGAGGCAAAAGGCGGACACTGGCGGTGGCTGCTACTGCTGCTGCTCGACGCCGACACCAGAACCTCCAGCTGCAACACGGCTACCTCCGGGACGCTCCACGCCAACACCCCCAGAACGAGAAACCTCTCCAGCACCCATGCCACCCCAAGGACCGCCGGGACAAGCCGTGGCAGTACCCCCAAGACGAGCACCCCCAGAACCAGCACCCTCCTCAACGCCCGCACCCCCCGAGCACTCGAACCCCTGCGATGGCGGCGGCTGCTTCTGCGGCGGCGGAGATGGCGGCTGCTGCTGCGGCGGCGGCGGTGACAGCGACGACTCCTAAGGCTGTGACGGCGACTACGGCTTCCGTGGCAGTTTAGGAGCAACCGGGGTAGAGACAGGTGGCGAACTTGGAGCCGCAGGGCCCCCAGAGTCAGCTGACTCCTCCACCGGGATGACCAACGGGAGGGGAGTAACGTAAGACACACCAGACAGGGCAGGACGGGGAGGGAGAGGAGCAAGTGCTACCGGGGGAGTGGGGACCAAGAACAGGGGCTGGGAAACCGGGAGACCTCGGTGAGGAAAGCGGGTGTAGAAGGAGACAGACTCGTCAAAAGTGATGTTGCGAGAGTAAAAGAAACTGTGAGACGGCGGGTGGTAAAAGTGCCAGTCAGACGCGTCTAGGGGGAAGCCAAGGAGGACACAGGGGACAGTGCGGGTAGTGAGCTTGTCCATGCCAGAGTCACGAACGTGAGCGAGGTAGCCCCAGATGTGGAACACAGACGCGTCACCATGGGACCCGGTCCATAGGAGGGTCGGCAAAACCTGCGGCCGCTGGGATTGTGGTCACAGGTTAAGCTGGTGAGCGGTGTAGCAAACAGCGAATGGCCATAGAAAATGGGGTGCACCGGCATGGATCATGGAGGTACGAGCCACCTCCATGACCAAACTGATGCGTCGCTCAGCGACCCCATTCTGCTGCGGGGAGTCCGGCAGGGTGTACGACTGGGTGATGCCCTCCGCACGACAAAACAGGCCAAGCCGACCTGAGGCAAACTCGCCGCCACGGTCGGAGTGAAGACGCAGCATAGGGAGGCCGCGGTGGACTCGCGCAGCTACGACCCAAGGGATAAAAACGTCAGGCATGTTGGCCTTCCGTTCCAGGGGAAACACCATGGGTTAGCGCGTGTAGTCGTCTACAAGCACTAGAAAGTAGCGCTTTCGACTTAGCCCAGGGACGGGGGCTGGGTCCCAGACGTCCAGGTGCAGGGTCTGGAGTGGTGCAGTGGTAAGGGGAAGCGAGGAGGAGTGAGGGGCACGGCGCAGCCGGCCCTTGACGGAGGGCGTGCATGGTGGGGCAGGCGAGGGAGGGAGGGCAGGGAGTGATGCAAAGAGACCTAAGAGAAGACCGTGCTGGGACATGTGACGTAGACGTGGGAGTGCGGGGTGACCCAAGCGGTGGTGCCACTGCAGCGACGGGTGGGTGAGCGACCGACACGAGCAAGCCGCTGCGACGTGGGAGGGCGCGACCACCTGTGGGGATGCTTCCACCGGGGGGGGCACGATGTCTAGAGTGAATAGGCCAGACACTGTGTCCTGGGGGAACGTGGTGAGACGGGCACCAGTGGCGGCCTCGGTACAGACTGCGTTCTGCTCGTGTCCAAGAAACGTAGTGATGACGCCGAGGTCTTGAAGACAGCCGACACCAACTAGGTTTCTGGAGAACGAGGGGATGTGCAAGTTTGCAAGGGAGCCCGGGGTAACTGCCGAACAGGGAGGGTTAGTGGAGCTACATGCAACTACCAAACCTGAGGAGGGGTCAGCAAGCGCTACAGCAGCAGGGGCGGTAAGCGGCGTAAGCACAGTGTGGTCGCGAAAGAAGCAGGCGGAAGAGGTCATCCAAGCGGCCATAGCAGCAGGTGGCGGTGTGACTGAGACAGTCGAAGACGGTGCCACGGTGGGAGCCGGACTGAAGCTGGTATTGGCAGGTGATCACACTGGAGCCGCCACCTGACACCGAGCTGCGTGGCCCACCATCACGACCACCACCGCCAGCGCCGCCGGGCCACCATGGCGGCAGGGGTCCCCATGGCGGCTGCTGCTGCACCAGGGCATCAGCGTCGGTCACCTCGTCTAGACCACCGTCCCCTCCACCACCGCCGCCACCTCCGCCACCTCTGCCACCCCCGCCACCCCTCCTGCCGCCACGCCCCCCCCGGGGCCGACGTCCCCTATCCTGACGAGCGTGTACCGAGGCCACTGCAGCGGTCTCAGCAGCAGGGGCCGTCTCAGCAACAGTGGCAGAGACGTCAGAGTAAGTGCACTGGGAGGGAGCACAACCCTAGAAGACAGGGACCACCATAGTACCGCTAGATTGAGCGATAGTGTGCTGACGGTTCTCTATCGCCGACAGGGCGGTGACAAAGGCAGGAAGGGTGAGGTCACTTGGATGCTGACTAAGGAAGTGGTCGTGGGCAGTGGCAAGGTTGTCAGAAAGCTGCGTGGCAATGAGGTAAAGGGTAGCGCAGAGGAGAGGAGGGAATGCAGTGAGTTGGGCCTCCATGCTAGCAGCGCGGTAACTTATCTCAAGAGCACGCAGATGAGTGGCAAGGTCAGCGACAGTGGGGAAGGATGCAAGATCAGACGGCCGGCTGAGGCGGAGGAGGGAGTGGAATAGCACGCGATGACTGCATCTAAGTATTCCTTCGCATTCGCTACAGCAGTAAAGCGGGGACGCTCAGACAGGGGGAGGGCGTGAGTAATAGCAAGCTGCACTACCGCATCGCGCGACTCCCAGACAGCGCCAGCAAGCTCAGCAGTGGCAAAGGCCTCTCGCTCAGCAGACGTGGGAGCGTTAGGGAGGGCAGCCGGCACGGCAGGCCAGGGAAGCTTACCGTCAACATGGACGGCCAGGGAGTAGCTGTCCTGGCACTGACCTGACGGTGGAGGTCGACGAGCCAACCCTCAAAGTCGATCGCCTGACCCTCCACGTCCAGGCGGAGCATAGCGTGCGCCATCACCATGGCGGCAGCAGCTGACAACGGCACCACGGCATGGCGGCCCAGCGGCACGACGACACGGCGGCACAACAACACGATGGCACGGTGGCACGGGGACACGGCGACACATCGGTATGGCGGTACGGTGGCACGGCAGCACGGCGACACGGCGGCACGGCGTCACGGCGGCACGGCAGCATGGCAGTATGGCGGGACGGCGGCACCGCGGCACGTCGAGAAAAGGGCCCGGCTCAAACGGGGGTGAACTGGGGCCGGCTCAAAGGGGGGCCCGTGAGAGCAGGGGCCGGTGCGGACTAGCGGGGCCGACGCGAAATAGCGGGGCCGGCGCGAACTAACGTGGCCAGCGAACTAGCGCCAAGTGACGGGGCCAAGTGAC